ACAAGACATCATGTAGTGCCAATGTAGAACTCAATCTAATATCACCAGACAAATGGACTGATATTCGAGTGTGGTTTGGCAAGGTAATACTTGCATTAGTGACTGGTGTCAACTTCAAGAATGCACCAACATTTGAACACACATGTTTAGTGGCCCCCGAATCAACAATCCATACTCTCTTATCAGTAAAGATAGGATGCATTGATAAGGAGTGACATATACCTGCAGTTGTACTTGAGGTGGTGTGTTTTTCATGGTCATTTGTGGCAGGAGTTGAGCATGAAGCCAGATGGTCAGATAGCATACTCATCAGCTGTTGATATTGATCAACATTTAGGTTTCGCATAAAATTCTCCATGCCTGAATATTGATCCGACTGGGAATTGAGTGAGAACTGGTTCACTGGATTAGATGCCTGATTATTTTGGAAATTTTCCCTTGGTTTTGGCTTGAATCCTGGTGGATATCCATGGATTTTGTAATACTTATCAACCGAATGTCCATGGAAGTTGCAATGTATGCAGTAAGGCCTCTCATTCTTCTTGGTATTACCAAAATTACCAACTCCAGAACCAGATGTTAACCTCACATTGCTAGATCTCAACGCAAATGCAGCAGCACCATATGTTTCATTCCCAATTGACAGTGTACCAACTTTTCTCTGATTTTCTTCTTGTGAAATCAAAGCAAACACCTTATTGATCAGTGGTAAAGGGTCCACAAGCAAGATCTGGCCTCGAGCATGAGAAAAGGAGTCATTTAGTCCCATGAGAAATGACATAAGGTGTTCCATCTGAAAGTATTCATTGATTTTCTTTACACCACCACACGTACATTTTCCACAGTTGCAATTTGGTCGAAAGTAACTCAATTCTTCCCATACAGCCTTCAATTTAGTAAAATATACACTTATGTTTTTTTTTATTTTGAGATAAGGTCAATAGATCTTTCCTAAGTTGGAAATCCTTGGTCCATTACTTTGCTGAAATCTCTCTTTCAAGTCGGTCCAGATTTCATATGTAGTTGATGCATAGGTAACACTTGCTGGAATATCCTTTCAAACCGAATTGAGGATCCATGACATCACCATATTATTGTTTCGAATCCACGAATTCACCAAGTCAGGGTTTGCATCCTCTGGTTTCTTCAGTGATCCATCAATGAATGACAGCTTATTCTTCACGGAAAGGGCGATTGTCATCGCACGGCTCTAGGAGGCATAGTTATCTCCTATGAGAGGCTGTGAAAATAACACCGAACCAGGACTGTCGGAGTGGTACAAAAAATACGAACTGGAAGATTCATCAATGACTGATTTACTCATTGATGATCGAGATTCAGAATTGGAATCTGACTGTGTTGGTTCCATTGCAAAGTGAATTCACGAGTTGAGAAGAAAATAAGAAAAGATGAGCACGGGAAGGATTTTCTCTGATACCATATCAGAAATGTGAAGAGAAAATCTGGAATCTCATTTCATGGAAAACACGTGAATGTACATTGTATAAATAGGCCACAGCTTGCATAACTGGCGACAGCTAGCATACAAACTAACAAAACTAACATATAACAACATATAACAAAAACTAATAGAACTAGCTTCTAATACATTCACCGCCCATATCACTTCTTGTTAGTCGATTGATCGAATGGAATAACATTATGTAAACAGGGAAGAAGCAGCAACGGAAACAATGATGGCATGCAGGCGACCGAGCTGCTAGTGGCCAGGTTGCTGGAGGAGGACATGGGCTCTGCCACGCAGTACCTCCAAGCCAAGGGTATCTGCATCACACTGATTCCACTAGCGACTGCCATTTGTCACTCAAGGAATCCCATGGGCGGTGGGCCCTCCTTCTCTAGCACGACATTTTTGACAATTCAGTCCATTACAACAGGTGGCAATGGCTGTGGAGAAGCCTTGGTTAAAGCCACTTTTGAGCCTTTAATCGATGTGATGTGATCTGATATCACGAAGTTGACTCGATAACTGTAAGGGGAGAATAGAGAGTAGAGAACAAAAATATGACCTTTGTTAACTTTTAAAATAAGGGTTGGGTGCACAACACTACACGAGGCCTTCTGTAATTTAAACTAATAAAGATGCAAATGTAAATGGATTTACACTTTGTTATTTTTAACTTATACAATAATAGAATTGATTTCTTATTTGTTTTTATGTATTTGGCCTCATTATTACCGATAACAATTGAGAAAAAGGAAATAGAGTGAACGACACACAAACAATTATTAGTTGAAACTTGAAGTTAGTCGATGTTTGTGTCTCGACTCCACAATCGAAATAGACACCGTCCAAAATCTTACGAGATATGGTAGTGAAGAATTTTTAATAGTTGATGAAATCCAAATAGAAAGGAATGCCTCGTAGAAGTATAAAGTTGACGGCTCTTAAATTTCATTTTTCCAAAGAAGTAATTTGGCTTTCAACGAATAAGTATTGAATAATACATTACTAAGTTTACCTTAATATACTTGTTATAATTTTTTGAAGAATAATACTATGTAGCCTCATTGAAGTTATAACCCCATTTTAGGTGACGTTGGATGATAGACTAAATGAATAAAATGACTAATTTAATTTCACTTATCATTTAATGTTATATTAGCGTCACCTAGAGTTACAACCCCAATGAGGTTAAATAGAATTACTCTTTTCTAAAATAACAATATATTTGGATATTGATTATTGGGAGAGGCGAATTATCATATAAATAAAGATGGCTTAGTGCTACCAACACTTTTTCGATCAAGCCATTTACCTGGTTGGCATGGTTTGCAGACTATTGTGTCAGTTCGAGGGTTTACCCAGTGCGCATTCGAAAGATAGTGGTTGCGGGTTCCTCCGTGATGAGTGATTTACACTCATTATATTATGCCATTAATTTCATGATTTTACTATCTTGAAAAGTATTTTAGAAGTGCTAACAAGTGATCTTGGTGTTGTCTTATAGATTGATGGAAGTGGAGAAAACAAGAGCTAAAAGAGGTCAAAGGAAGGAAATAGGCAAAAGCTAGCGAAATTGGATGAAATGACCAAAACGTAAGAGATCCAAAGTTTGAGGATTAAAATGAAATTAATTAAAAGTCATGTCGAAACTTGAAATGAAGATCCGAGAGTTCTAGAAGCCGATTGGATGAAGGGAAGGTGTCAAAGGGATCAAATTTAGTCAAGATATGATCATAAATCATTTTCCAACCAAAAAGTTTTGCGCCAGAGTTTTGGTCTCACATTTAGACTCATTTTGACATAGAAAACGATAGAATTGGAGAATTATACCTGAAGCAAAATTGTTGTCCTTTGAATTAGCTTTCCAACGCATCTTGAATCACTTTAATTGGACATTGAACAAAAAAGTTATGACAAAAATACTAAAGGCTATCTAGTGCAACCGAAGTAGTCCTCAGCGCCCAGGCGTCATGATGCTGAAATTTTGACAGAAAGTCAGCGCCTAGGCACCCAAATCCCAGCGCCTAGGCGCCGCCGTGTGAGAGTAATTTTTTTAGATTTTTACCATTCTTTTTCGGCCCAACTCATCTCTAAATCTTTCCCTAAACTCCAATACATTATAAACACAGAATTGAATACCTAAATTAGAGGGGAGCCACACACTAAAAATCTGTGGGATCAAGCCATGCGTTCTTAACATATTGGAGAGAAGACAACAAGAAGGGAGATTGAAAAGAGAAATTCAAGAAGATTAACACCAAACAATTGAAGATTAGAAGCATTTATTGGAAGGGGAAGGAGATCTTGGTGCAAGAATTCTACTTTTTCTTCTACATCTTTATTACAAATCCGGTGATGTATTCTAAGACAATTTCCTATTTTTCTTCCATATTATGAGTAGTTAAATTTAATTTTAGGGCGAACAATGTAATCTTTTGGAATCCTTTATTTCATGCAATTGAGATTCTAGTGCTTTTATATTTTATGTGTTGATTTTAATGTTGTTCTTAATACATTTAATTACTTGATCACTAATTAGATGATTTGTGAACAATGATTGCGTAGAGATGCGGATTATTTGTTTAGACCACATGTTAAAATCCGGTAAATTGATATAACGTGTAGAGATACATATATTGATTGCTGCGGTCGTGTGTGAATTTTTAGAACCAATGTTTCATTTAATTAAATTTAATTTGCATAGAGATATGAAATTAAACTAATTAAATAGGTTCAATGAGAACTCGAGAGGGGTAAGTTGAATACAATAGAAGAATTTGACCGAACACTACCTTAGGTTTTATGAATCTTGATTTATGAAGTAAAGGTGACCAATAGGTGAAATTATTCCGCCCTAATGTCCATTTATTGTTTGAATTCTCAATCACTTTTCGTTACATCCAATTGCATTTTTAAGTATTTAGAATAAAAATCACATTTAATCATTGTTTTTGTTTATTTTTGTCAAATAGAAGTTAGAAATAATAAATTGGGCATTAAAAGTACGGTCCTCGTGAGAACGATAATCCGGACTCAAAAGGTCCACTTTACTACTTGTTACGATCCGTTCACTTACGAGATAAAATCGACAACAATTTTTTTGCGCCGTCGCCGGGGACTGTTTCTTTTAGTCTTAATTTTTTTTATTTTGACTGTTATTTGATTTGTTTATTTTTCTTTTAATTACAGAAAATTGTGTTCGTTGTATGCTCCGTGCCCAAGGCGATGATCTTGAACTGTTTGATTCGGAGATAGAACGTACCTTCAGACGAAGACGCAAGGAACACAAACAAAAATAGCAACATCAAATGGCTGACAATCAACAAATCCATATCCCTATTCAGCCGATTGGGCAAATGACCACAAGAGTGGTGGCACCACCGAAACAACAACATGAACGAAGGGAAATAAATGAAGGAAGTTGCCAGTATCATTGTTCCTGACACCTATAGTAGCACCCATGCGCTCCAATATCGTGTATCTAGATTTTAGGGTGAATAATTTTCAGATCAGGTCAGACTGAATTAACTTGATGAGCAACACCCTGCAATTCTACGGGCTACCTCAAGAGAATCCAAACACGCATATTTCTAGATTTCTCAGAAACTGTCAGAACTTTCATGCTCCGGGAGTCAATGAAGATGCTATTAAACTACGACTATTCCCATTTACATTGAGAGATGCTGCATTGGAGTGGTTAGATGCTGAGCCTCACGCTAGCATTACTATATGGGAAGAACTAGTCAGGAAGTTCTGTAATAAATTTTTCCCACCAGCCAGAGTGGCTAAAATCAGATTGGAAATTCAAACTTTTCCACAGAAAGAGGGAGAAAGCTATCACGAGGCATGGAATAGATTTAATGAGCTGATGAGAAAATGTCCAAACCATGGAATTACACAAGGAAACCAAGTGCAGTACTTCTATATCGGACTTACACGACTGTCAAAATCTCAAGTTGATGCCTCTACTGGTGGATCAATCATAGGGAAATCAGTGCAACAAACCATGGACCTATTTGAGTTAATTGCCACCACACATTCAATGTTCTCATCAGAAAGAGTGGTACCACCAAAGGCAGCAAGAATGTGTGAATTAGACAGCACAACATCTACCAATGCACAGATAGCAGCTTTAACAAAACAGGTAGAGTTACTTGTAAAATTGCAAACACATGGAGCAAATGCAATGATGACCAGTTCAAGGAGAAATCACGCTACAGAGAGCTGCATGATGCTCACATCTTCAGAGGAACAAGTAAACTCTATTCAAAATAACTCTCATAATTTCAACTCATATGGCAACAATTTCCAGCAAGAAAGAAGACCAAGTTTGGGGAAGATGTTTCAACAATATGTGCAGAAGACGGACAAGGTGTTCCAGCAAATTGACACGAACTTGCAAAATCAACAGGCATCCATCAAGAAACTGGAGACACAAATTGGTCAGATAGCACAACAACTTGCAGAACGTCCACAAGGGACATTGCCGGGCAATACAATGATAAATCCTAAGGAACAGTTGATGGCAATTAAAGTAGTGGAGAATGATCCACCCAGGGCCCCCGTAAAAGTTAAAGCATATGTACCTCTACTTTCGTTTTTCCAAAGACTTCGAAAGAAGTCGATGGAGCAAAATATTCATGTCATAAATACAAAGAACGAGGTACAATCACCAGAGATCACTACAGAGAGACCCAAAAGAAAAGATGACCAAGAAGTGATTGATGAAGCTACAAGGGTAGGAAAATCTGCACCAAATGCAACTGAAAATAGAGAAGGTACAGAAACATCAGCTGCCAAAGCACCAAGTCTAAACAAAGCTTACATGCCTCCCATTGCCTTTCCTCAAAAGCTCAAGAAGAATAAACAAGACACAAACTATGAAAAATTTCTCGATGTTCTCAAGAAGCTTCAGATCAATGTTCCGTTCATAGATGCGATACTACAAATTCCAAGCTATAAGAAATTTTTGACAGAGATGTTGACAAAGAAAAGAAAGCTTCCGGAGTTTGAAACCGTGGCACTAACTGAGGAAAGTAGTGCAAGAGTCCAGAGAAAATTGCCTCCTAAATTGAAGGATCCAGGGAGTTTTACTTTACCAGTTTCAATTGGAAATTCCTATTCATCTAATGCATTGTGTGACACTGGTGCTAGTATCAATCTAATGTCATATTCTTCTTATAGGAAATTGGGACTAGGTGAAGTCAACTCAACATCAATAACGCTACAACTCGCTGATAGAACAATCACAAGGCCACGTGGCAAAGTTGAGGATGTACTCATCAAAGTAGGAAATTTAATATTTCCTGTGGATTTCATTGTATTGGACATACCAGAAGATCGAGACATTCCAATTATATTGGGTCGACCATTCTTAGCAACGGGACGAACTCTTATTGACATGGAGAAGGGAGAACTAATCTTGAGAGTGGAGGACAAGCAGGAGATATTCAATATTTACATCCAATATGAGAAACCTCCCAATAAAAATGATTGCTATAGAATTGATGAAGAAGAGCCACCTGATCAACGAAGCTGTCAGAATAAATAAAACAAATTTTGGAGAACTTCTTGGTAGAGATAAGAATGGACAAATCAAAATTTGGAAAGCAAAAAAGGATTGCATCAATGAAAATTGCACAGAGTGCAATGATGGAATAACTTGGTTTGAGCCACCATGATAAACCAGCGGCACAAGTCAAGTTAATGACTTAAAAGAAGCGCTTCTTGGGAGGCAACCTAAGCTTTTATTTTATTTATTTTGTTTTCAAAGTTCTAAGATAGTTTAATTTATAGTTTATTTAGGAATCATCACCTATACACTACCCATAGGTCTTGGAGTAATTAAGTTGGTCATTAGATGTTTGAGCTAAGTAATCCTTGTTCCATGAGTTTAATTTTTCAAATTTAATTTTTCAGAAACATGACGTCACGGAACACTCAAGCCAACATGGACATGGAGAAAATGGGATAAATCTCAAGTTTGAGGGAAAATGTAGAAGAAGAGTCAATCAAATACAACACCAAGTCACCACAACATCATAGGCAATACTGACATTTTAGGGAAGTCCTCCTCCTTTTCCTTTAAATTTCACATTGAGGACAATGTTTCAGTTAAGTTTGGGGGAATGACATCATTTGCTTATATTGTTGAGTTTCTCGAATGCTTATGTGTGATTTGCTTGTTTTATGTATTTGTGTTTTTATTCAAAAAAAAAAAATTCATTTCGTGTTTTTGCATGCTTTTGTGTGTTAGATAACCTTGCCGGTATTGATATGTGTAATTGAGAACATGTGTTGATTTATGAATTGTGGACGAGTTATGTGTTTGATTTAGATTTTTGCTTATTCATGTGAAACGAAAATTATTTTTTGCACGTGAGTTGATTGTAGCGTTGTGCATGAGGAGGTTGATTCACGTTTATAGGTTGAAATAGAGAACTTAGATGCTAAATCCAAATAATCATTAAACATCACAATACCCTTAAACCAAACTTAGGACGTTTGGATGATTACACTGTTGTAGGGAAGTTTGGAGATAAATGTGGATTTCGTGTGTGTTAATTTTTGTGTGGATTGTCTGAGATCAATAGGATGAAAATTGGGTGAAAACCTTAAGTTAGAGGTCGATTTTCGAGGATAGGTGTTTAATAAGGGGCATTGCACTAATCACCGCATAAAAAAAAGATCCCAATGAGGACAACTTTAATAATCTCATTGTGAATCGTCTCTTCGTAGCCTTTATGAGTCGAGTGATTAAGCTTGTAAGGGTTTAAAACTTGGTGCCCTAAAGTCATTTGATTTGGGAGTTATCGGCCTAAAACTCGCTACAAGGGTCATTTAGAAAGCTTAAAGGAGAGACGTCCACACAAAGAGTGATTAAAGAATAAAGATATATATGAAAAAAAAATAAAAAATAAAAAGAGAAAAAAATAGATATCAAATGCCTTGAGTAAGCCCCAAACACTTGTTTTAGAGGATTAGACCTTTGACAAGGGGTAAGTAACTTGATTGATTCCTAGAGGTTGAAGCAATCAAAAATAAGGAGAATCCTCATTTGTTGACATGTGAAACTACAATCAGTAAAACCTAACCAAACTTGAGTGGTGTAAGAAATTAGTATTGAAAATTTAACCTTAGGTTACACCCTTGGAAAGAGAAAAGAAAATAAGTTTGGGGGTGTGTGAATCCCACGAGCAAAGTAAGGAAAAATTTGACTTCTAAGGTCGGGAATTGAGTCAACTTATTATTGTACAGCGTTGCACTTGACTCTCCACACACACACACACCCGTTGTGCATTGAATAGGCGAGAATTTAACTTTTGCAATATAGTTTTGAAGTGGTTCATGGCATCGAAGTTATGTTTTTAATTCTCAGACATGAAGGCAAGCTATCTAGCGAAATTTATTTTAAGTGATTTTGTTTATCTTAGTTGTGCTTGTGTGTCCATTAATTATTTTTACGGATTTTGGTGTTTGCTCGAGGACAAGCAAAAGATTAAGTTTGGGGGTGTTTGATGAGTGATTTACTCTCATTATATTATGCCATTAATTTCATGATTTTGCTATCTTGGAGAGTATTTTAGAAGTGCTAACAAGTGATTTTGGTGTTGTCTTGTAGATTGATGGAAGTGGAGAAAACAGTTAAAAGAGGTCAAAGGAAGGAAATAGGCAAAAACTAGCGAAATTGGATGAAATGACCAAAACGTAAGAGATCCAAAGTTCGAAGATTAAAATGAAATTAATCAAAAGTCGTGTCGAAACTTGAAATGAAGATCCGAGAGTTCTAGAAGCCAATTGGATGAAGGAAGGTGTCAAAGGGATCAAATTTAGTCAAGATATGATCATAAATCATTTTCCAACCAAAAAGTTTTGCGCCGGAGTTTTGGTCTCACATTTAGACTCATTTTGACATAGAAAACTATCGAATTGGAGAATGATTCTTGAAGCAAAATTGTAGTCCTTTGAATTAACTTTCCAACACATCTTGAATCACTTCAATCGAATATCGAACAAAAAAGTTATGACAAAAATATTGAAAGTTGTCTAGTGCAACTGAAGTAGTCCTCAGCGCCCAGGCGCCATGATGCTGAAATTTTGACAGAAAGTCAGCACCTAGGCGTCCAAATCGTAGCGCGCGGGCGCTGCCATGTGAGAGTAATTTTTTTAGGCTTTTACCATTCTTTTTCGGCCCAACTCATTTCCAAATCTTTCCCTAAACTCCAATACATTATAAACACAGAATTGAATACCTAAATTAGAGGGGAGCCGCACACTAAAAATCTGTGGGATCAAGCCACGTGTTCTTGACATATTGGAGAGAAGACAACAAGAAGGGAGATTGAAAAGAGAAATTCAAAAAGATTAACACCAAACAATTGAAGATTAGAAGCATTCATTGGAAGGAAAAGGAGATCTTGGTGCAAGAATTCTACTTTTTCTTCTACATCTTTATTACAAATTCGGTGATGTATTTTAAGACAATTTCCTATTTTTCTTCCATTATTATGAGTAGTTAAATTTGATTTTAGGGCGAACAATGTAATCTTTTGGAATCCTTTATTTCATGCAATTGAGATTCTAGTGCTTTTATATTTTATGTGTTGATTTTAATGTTGTTCTTAATACATTTAATTACTTGATCACTAATTAGATGATTTGTGAACAATGATTGCGTAGAGATGTAGATTATTTGTTTAGACCACATGTTAAAATTCGGTAAATTGATATAACGTGTATAGATACATATATTGATTGTTGCGGTCGTGTGTGAATTCTTAGAACCAATGTTTCGTTTAATTAAATTTAATTTGCATAGAGATATATAATTAAACTAATTAAATAAGTTCAATGAGAACTCGAGAGGGGTAAGTTGAATACAATAGAAGAATTCGACCGAACAGTACCTTAGGTTTTATGAATCTTGATTTATAAAGTAAAGGTGACCAATAGGTGAAATTGTTCCACCCTAACGTCCATTTATTGTTTGAATTCTCAATCACCTTTCGTTGATCCAATCCCATTTTTAAGTATTTAGAATAAAAATCACATTTAATCATTGTTTTTGTTTATTTTCGTCAAATAGAAGTTAGAAATAATAAATTGGGCATCAAAAGTATAGTCCTCGTAGGAACGATAATTCTGACTTAAAAGGTCCATTTTATTACTTGTTACGATCCGTTCACTTGCGGGATAAAATCGACAACACTCCATTATAATAAATAAATAAATAAATAAATAGGCCTCCCGGGGTACAGCTCAACTGGTGGATCAATCAACATTTGTCTTGCTTCCAGCGGTAGGGTGGAGGTTCGAATCCTGGTGGAAACCTGCTACCAGATTTATTTGGTATGGAGCAATCACTTTGGAGGAGGATCTCTTGTGCGCAGAAGTGTACAGGCGGTGGGGGGAACCTGTGATTCAGTTGAGGCATAACCCGTGATTTACCCCCTACAAGGTTCTAGGGGCAAAGATATTGGGGGTCCAAGATTTAGTCTAGTATATGTTGGGATACTTGGATATCAAAAAAAAAAAATAATAATAATAAATAAATGGCTTAGTGTGAGAAAGATAACAACGGAATTTACGGATCAAAATGGAGTCTGATCAGTGATTCTACGAAAAAATGAAAGCATGCAGGCAACTTTAATTGCTCTCTCTTTTAATGCTTATTTGGTAAAATTACAACTTCTTTGGCTCCAATTAAAATCTAATTTTAATCTAAATTAAAGTCAAACGGTCAATATTAACTATATTTTTCATGGTCCCTCAACTTTTTAACTACACATTTTATAACATCTATCAAACTTTCATCAGCAAGTTCTATCAATTTTCCTCGTACACGTCAATTTTCATCAGCTTTATTTGCTAAAAATTTACATGAAACGACCTCGTATTTTCTTCAACTTATTGAAACTCTTTTGTTAGATTCAACGAATCACTTTTCCTTTTTAAGAAAGTCGGTGCACAGAATGATACGAGAAGATAAAAAATTCTTCTCACTATCCAATAATAGAATCAATGATATGATCATTTTCTTCTGCAGTCATGTTATTTGTACAATTCATTTTACAATTTAATTTACAATGCATGAATTGGTAAATATCACATTCATTTATTTGAAAAATCGTTTTTAAAGTTAACGGTCATAATTTTTTCAACACACTTGTTGTCAACCAAATTTTGCATAAATATTGTACAAGTGACTTTATTCTTTCTACTGTTGTGTAAGGGGACATGCACTGTTCTGATGCACTTTGTACTGTCTTAAAACTTGGCGACTAATTTGGCTAATACATAATAGTAGGTCAATGTGTACGGATTAAGCCCATGTTTGGCCCCATTAATTTTCTTTTTTCTTTCTCCTATTTTTAACCACACAATTTTCAATAAAATAATAATATACGTAAATTAAAAATTTTTCATTCTTTTTTAACCACTCATTTTTAATAAAAAAAACACTATTTTACTAATTTTCATTTCCACAAAATGGGAGCCTAACGGGGCTAAGCCCCAATTGTAAAATTATTTTAAATTTAAATAATAATTCCTTTATTTATTTCATTAATTTAACCAATAAAAAATTTAAAAAATAAGATTCGTATACCCTTAGGTGCTTAGACTTGAATTAGTCGTGCCTTTATAATTTTTCTAAAGAAATTTTGATGTGATAAAAGTTTTTAAAGAAAATTGGGTTGGCGGGTTGGACGAGGCAACTCTTGACGCAGCCTTATACTTTGGTAATAATGAAAATTTCACTCATACACTGGACACAGCGTGTAGTCCCCTCGCAAGAGAGGGGCTCATAGTGATTAAAAAGTTCGTGGACCTCACTCATATGAAGGGGCTGTTTTAGTGTACATGTAGCAAATTTCTGATAATAAACATTATGTTGCGTATAAATAAACAAAGCATATCAATGTTTTTATCTATATAATATAATTTCGTGTATTAGGATAAAGTTGTAGGACTGAGGATGTGTTTGATTGTCAATATTTTTCGTGGAAATGTGCTTTTTTCATCCAAATTTATACTTTTGTGTTGTTTGAGTGACACTTTTTCTATGGAAAATATTTTCCTACTTTTGGTTATGTGATCATATTTTTCTCAAAATCAAAGAAAATATTTTTTAGAGGGAGTAAGATTTTATTTTTCAGAGAATTCACTCCCTCTTTCAGTCTCTCATCTACCCATCAATAAAAATCGAACAAGTATAATACTTTTTAGGTTGAAAATTAAATTAATTAAACAAATTTAATTGACAATTTC